TTTTCCCCCAGGCTATAAAATTCTTGATGATATGGATTTTGTGTCATTAACTGTCATGTTCCTAGATCATAGCACAATTCAGAAACTAAGTATTTGTGGGATGAGTAAATAGAATGAATGGCTGCACAAAGAAATCACTGACTGAATATTTCTGTCTCCTTTCATTATCAATCATATGCTTCTTCCTATGTTTGTACATGCATAACATGAATTTTAACATTGGTCATTGGGATACAGAGCCAATTCTCTCTCCTGACCATATTATCCTTTGCATTAAATCATTTATACTCCATGTGAATTGTATCTGCCATTCCTCAAAGCTATGGTGAAATTTCATAAACTGTGTTTTCTTGCTTGCATTAGAATTTTGGGATTACTTCATTCTTGGAAACCAAGGTGGCAATAGTGGGTAAAATGTTGGAGTCTGGGACTTGAGTATCTTTAGTTCCACTTACAGAGAAGTTCTGGTTAAAATGTGAACTCTCCGAGTCTCAATTCTCTCATCTATAAAATGGATAAATAATAGTTTCCTCTCAGGATAGTTTTCAGGATCAATGAAAAAAAAATAGCATGCATTTGTGTAGGTTGATGTTTTAACCATTATAATTTTCCCAGCTGTGTATTGGGGACAAAGCAACCAAAAATGAAAACACCAATTGCTCTTCACACTGATATTATGGTTACTAGTGTAAGTATTAAGTTCTGAAATTCTCATCAAAAAAATATTTATATCATCCTCATTTTGCAGATGAGGAAACTGATAGAGTGCTTAAGTAACTTACCCACAGTACCATAGCTAGTAAATGATAAAGCTAGGATTAAAATTCACATTCTAGAAATAAAATATTCTAGAATCCAAATGCACTGTAATTGGGAAGTAACAGTGGAAATCACGATCTGTTGGTCAATACAGTATTTAATGAACTTTCACTGAAGATGGAAATCATCTTACCCACATTCCAACTTGACAAAGTTTGTGTGTGTGTATGTTCCCTTTTAGCTAATGCCTAGCAGTGCATGAACCCTATCAGGGCACCTTTTGCCGTAGAGGCTGATGGTAATGAACACTTGGTTCCTGTCTTTCATTTCCATCATGCAAATAGCTCAGAACCCAGAATCAAAAACTGGATTGTGAGAGCAGTCAGTAGTCACCAAGGTACCCTCTTGTTTGAAGGTTTTGGGCCGCCACTCATTTGGAAATACATATGTTGTCCTAGATGAAAGTGTTTCATGAGCCACCATGGATATATGCTATTATGAGCTCTGATAATCAAAGGGTTGACCTCTCCCCTTTTGTAGAATGCTAGTGCATCAGACCATCACATCCTTGCAATTTTCCAAGTTCTTACATAAGGAAAGCCAATACACATAGTCATAGTTCTTTGATACATAATCACCCAGGCCAAGGGTTTATATTTGTGTGACCCTGCTTGATAGTTTCCTAACCAATCCACTCATGACAGTGTTGTATAGAGTTTGAAGTGGACTTGAGGCTGGAATAAGGAAAAACTGTATTCAAGAGAGAAAATAATGAGTTACTAATAGCTTGTAGGATCAAAGGAGCATTTCTGGAACTAAGCACCTTACTGTTGATGGAGAATTTACTTATGCCTCAGACAGTTGCTTCCAACTAGAAGAGTTTTATGTCTGTTTCACAATTCATTCCCAAACTTTCTCTCCAGTTGTTGATTACAATTTCACTCTCCATTCTGAAGGTTTAATTTTTCAAAAATGGAAAATTGGTCCTTGCATTTTAGAATAATGACGTAAACATTGTATTTGCCAACAGTGAAAATGTTACAAAAGGGAGAAAGCAATTATCTGCATTTTCATGTTGCTTACAATTTGCTCCCTTTGCCTGTCATTAAGACAAGCAAACAAATTGACTTCTACAGACATTTGAGTCTTTACATCTATTTTCTTCTAGGAGAGGTTGGTCGATGAGGTGAAACAAGCTTTTATCAAGATGTTCTTTTTTGTTGGTATAAATACACTTGGACTCTGGCAGAAAGTGGTGCTCTAGTCCAACAAGATGAACCTGCCTCAACCCCTCCATGAAAACCAAAGAGCACCGACCAAACCCCAAATGGTGTGTCAGAAGGTCTTCCTTGCAACCTTGGTCATTTCATAATTTTTTTTTTTAAGTCTTCATCCCACACTACCATTGATTCCACCCCCAAGCAGATCTAGAAGAGCTTTCTTACGGACACTACCAAGGTCCTCTCACTTCATATCACTTCTGTATACTGTGTTTGTTCCCAGTCCATCTCCTTGTCAACCATGAAAGTCTAGAAAAGCAAATGTGTCTATGCTGTTCACCTGGAGGGTCTTCAAGGCCCTCACTGCATCCTTGTGTTGTGACCACATCATTTTCATTCTCAATAAGAAATGAGGCAAAAGTTTTCTAAGCAATTTTTGCTAACTTTGTGCTCATTGAAAATTTAGAAAATACCAAAATAAGATGTTTTCACCCACTATTATTATATTGCCTTCAAGATTTTTTTCCCTATGTATGTGTGCACAGAAAATCTAGTAGCCTGTTTTCTTTGCTCAACATAATAAGAATTTTTCTTCTACTTTTCGTGTATGCTTAAGCTGGGCTTCTATGTGCAAAGCCATGTTACTGAGTTGGAGAAGCAGATGGCACATAATTAAGGCAAAGGAACACACACTAACTTCAAGTTCAGTATTGTGGTGAATGAGCTTTAGGTTAACTTAGGCAGCTATACAGGACACTAAAGCAGAAATATGCATGTAGATCAATTTTTTTAAGATGTATTTATGCATATGAGAACTAGGGTAAAGGCCAGATATGTGGGGGGTGAGGAGATTCACCAGAGACAGAGTGGGGAGCAGAACAGACACATAAACTGAAACACACTCCTGAGGAGAGTAGTGGGCGGCTCAGGAGAGGGTTGCTGTGCCATGTGGGCCACCTCCCTGGCTGGAGATTGAACTTGTGCTTCAGTGGCAGCGTATAGCTTCATATTGCTGCACTTTAACCTCTTGTACCACCAAGGTGGGCCCTAAGTCAATGTTTTATATCAACTTGCTATAGATGCTTACTTTATTATTTTATAAGAATTTGCAGAAAAAGCCAAAGTTGCACTCAATAAAGTCAGGTTTTGAATGGAACTATTCCTTTAGTTATCTTTTGATTAAAGACATCCTTGTTTTAAAATGAGCATTGTAGTGGGCCTGCTGTTACTGAGGAGACCTTTGGTGTGTATTGGAGATTGGGGAAGGCCCTCACTGGGGATAACGCAATATTGTCACTCTCATTGACTGATTATGAAAAGGTCTGGGAATCCAAGAGACAGAGGCTAGTTGGCCAGAGTAGTGGCCAATGCTCTGGAGGCTCAGTGAACATATCTGTTTGCCAGCCAGAACTGTAGTGTTTCACAGTTTTAAAGAACATGACTCTATCGGGACATGTTGGCAACCATTATAACCCACCTGCAGAGACATTTTTTCTCAAGACACTAACATGCACTCAAGGAAGTCAGCCAAGTTGCTGCCTCTGACAGAAGAGGTGAGGTTTTCTATCTTTTGAAGCTGAGCTGTAGGACTGTAATCTGGAGAAGATACCAGAGAGAGGGTTCAGGATTGACCCATAGAAGGCAAACTGCCCCGGGTTTTGCTGGCCTTTTTCCAAAATAAAACATGTTCTTTAAAATCCACTTGAACTCAGGCTTACATTGAGCTCATGCTTTCCTCTACCCATGTTCAATCAAAATGGCTGATGTCCTCAGAACATCACCTAGACTAGGGTGAAGAGCAGTTAAATTGGGACTCCATTAGCAGCAATGGCCAGCCTCTCCCATGAAGTTTGATTGGCTGACCAGTGAGCACCAGGTCCCATTCCACCATCTGTTTTTTCTATTTAAATGCAGAAACAATTCTCTTGGGTTCTTGGGCTGAGAACTAAAGTGTTTTCTCCAAAGCCCCACTACCTACTGCTTTGGGTGTAAAGTCACCTGGGACTGGAAGACAGAAGTTTTCCAGTCAGCCTATCAATTATTGGGTGGGACAGGCTCAGGACTGTACATGAGAGGTGTTCTGTCATTCTCACAGCATCCCTATAAGGTAGATAGATCTGATTCCCTTGCTGCAGATAATAAAAATAGAGCTTTATTACATGGTAAGGAATCCTTCCGTGTATACTTAAGGGATCAGAGTATAATTCACTCAGGGATGTGTAGTCAGTAAGCATAAAGCTGGATGTGCAGGAGATATGTAGCAGGACCAGCCATGTGCACTGACTAGGGAACAAGAGCTCTGAGAAGCAGCCTGGGAGTATCCCCCATCTGCCTCCCAAGGTTGTTATTATCCTAACTCTCCCATAAATACACAAACACAGGTTTTCCATAGCAGTAGTCACTGGTAATAATTATCTAACTAGACTTGTAATGTAAACTCAGAAGATGCTATGGTTAGCTGCTCTAGAAATATTTGAAAGTGAACAGGGGGTATCCAATCAGAAGAGCTGGAGATTGAGAGGTGAAGGGTTACCTGGTCTGGCAGTAGGCAGCCTTCTTCCACTCTGCAGCACCAGATATTTATGTTGGCTGTTGGTAATCTTGTACCTTAGGCTTTCAGGCAGAAGGAAACATTACTTGGGCCATAGCATAGCATAGCAGACAGGAAGAGAGGGGTTCAGATTACATCTCTGTCAAACACTGTCTCTGTGATTTCACCAGTTACTTAGCTTGTCTGCGTCTTAATTTCCTCATCTATAAAAAGGTCATATTCTCTCAAAACTATTGTGAAGATCAAATAAGACAATGTTTGCAAAATACTTAACCTGGCATCTGGCACAAAGTAAATCCCTTAATAAAAGTGGTTATTAACATGAAATTGCCTTTTATGAACTATTTTATCACAGATTTATGGGATAACTTCTTTATTGCAAATTTATGAGCTTTACAAATCCTAAATTTGGAAAAGACATAGAAAAGTTGAGTCTCAAGTTGCAATATTATCTAATTTTGCTCTTGCAGGAGGCAAGGAAACTTACACTGGAGAAAGCAAAACAGATTGTCAAGAAATCCCAGACTCTGGTAAGCCATTGGTGGGCAGGGTGCCAGAATTTTCCTTGGTATATTCACCTTTCCTAGGTTCCTGCTTTCATATTCCAAAAGCCAATGCTGACTCAGAAACAAGCCTATGACACTCCATAGTTGAATTGAGGTGGAAGCAGGAAAATGAGTTCCTTCTACCTTGTTTTCTTTCTTCTCTCTCATCAGAGTTTCTAAGCCTAGGCAGCACTGAATATTTTGGGCTGGATAATCCTTTGATGAGGGTAAGGGACTGTCCTTTGCATTGTAGGATGTTTAGCAGCCTCCCTGGCCACGACCCACTAGATGCCAGCAGTGCTATCCACATCTCCCATGGGGTGAGACCCCCCACAGGGATTTCATGGATATATGGGATAACTTCTTTTTTGCAGTATCTCCTTACATTGTCAAACATGCTCTGGTACTCATATGTCAAAACTGCTTGCTCTCTAGTAAACCATTTTGGAGGAGACTGTATTTCCACTCCCTTTAACTGTGGTCTCTAAAACTGTGACTTTAGTCTGAGCCTTAGTTTACCCACCTATAAGACAGGGACAATTACAATGTTCCTTTTCTCAAAGCATTAATGTAAACACAAAGTTTATGGATGTGAAGGCTCTAGATAGCATGCCTCAGATCTATCAGGTACTCAAAAATGATAACTAAAACCTTCATGTTATTGTTCCTCTCCTTATTTGTTCTATATGTAATAAAACTTATATTCAACGATAGAATGTTCAGCTCAACTAAGTTATCATAGAGTCACATATTTGACTTGGGCCCTGGTTGCAAATTAGCCCCAGTTGAAAAAGAAACAGCAAAGTAAACATTTAAAGAACAGCATCTCCTTAGATACTGAAGGTCCTAGAAGTAGAGAAACATTCATCAGGGGTGAAGGGCATGGCCACATCCTTGGCTTCTCCCTCCTACCCCATCATTCATCCTGATGCAAATACGTTTAAGGCATTATTGATTTGGCAAGTTGGAAAATCCATTATGCTGGTTTTAGCAAATAAATAGACAATGACAAGTTACATTTAAATTTCAAATAAACAATGAATAATTTTTAGCATAAGTATGACCAGAGACATATGTTAAGAGCCCCACTCATGAAGGCATATTGATTTCAATGTACAGAGTTGATACATTTTAATGACAGTATGCAGGCATTTCTGCACAATCGATTAATCAGTCACAGTGGCTGTAATAACTATCATTATGTAATTTGTGAATAAAGGCCAACTTAACCAGTTCAGCTAATCTGCTTAAGTCATTAAACAAGAAAGTGAAACACCACATGAAACCCTTCACTTCTCTTTGCAGGCAAATTGTATGAAAAGGGTAATCTTACCTGTCATTCTATAAGATAAAAACACCAAATAATCAAAACTTCTGCCTAAGCATGGGGGAATCTGGAAGGTTTGGGGGAGGGGAACTTTCCTAAACAAGCTACATCATCTGTTACCCCATCCTACCCTCAGTTTCTCTACAATAAATGTCTAAGACAGTTGTAGCCTCCAAGCCCAATTTTAATAGCAAATAGCTGTGCAATTATAAAATTGTATTCTATTATACCTCTTTTGTAGTAATTATAAGGTTGCTAAAATAAATTTTTTTGATGCATTGGCTGTCATCAGTGTCAAAATCACCAGTGTCATTAGGTTAGTTATACTAAGACCTTCAAACTAAAGTAATTTTTTTTTTAAGTAGCTCAAACTTTTCAAATGCAGGCTGATTTTGAACTCTGGGTCTGTATTTCCAAATTGTCACCAATACTGTGGTATAATTTCATGTGGTCCTTGTTCTGTAGAGTGCCCACAGTACTGTTCTCAATCACTCACATGATCTCTAGCTACAACTTTCTGAATGCCCCTCCTTTTCACCATCAACCCTCTTCTCTCCCAACCAGTGGCAATTTTGTACTCTTCCGCCTCTCCCCAGGGGATATTGAACATCTATTAAGTAGCTACCAGCTACGCTGCTAAACATCCTACAGTCCAAAAGATAGTCCCTTAATGAATAATTATTGAACCCATAATGGCATTTTGGTCAGGTTAGATACCCTGGGATCAGACCTTAGGGACTTTCTCTGCCAACAGATCTCTATGCCCCATCTTGCCTCCGCCAGGCCTCATCTTCTCATCCCCAGGATAGCTTTCTGAAACACAAATGTGATCCCTTTGTTTAATATCTTTAGGGATTCTCCCACCATCCTCAGAATAATATGAAATGCAGCCTCTTAGACTTGTTATAATGTCACCTTCTGGCTGTGGTTCATTGCATGTTCACAGTTCCTCATGCTTGAGCCAGACCATAACATTTGGCTACCCAGGCAGAAGACAGATCCCCTCATTCCTCCAAAGCATAGTACTCTGCAAGTGCTCTTTCTGCTAGATTGTGTGTATGTCTGGTCTCTTGATATGTATCTGAGACTCTGCATTCCTACAGGATCCAAGAAATAATTATGTTTCTAGTCTGTGGTCACCCTGGGAGCAGCTATGACCTAGAGCAGCGGGTCTCAGAACTTAATGAACATACAAATTCCTGCGCATACGAAAAACACAGCTTAAAGGACCTTCCCTGAAGGTTCTGATTCAGCAGATCAAGTGGGCTCCAGGCATCTGTGTGTGAACATGGACAAGGGGAATGAACAGAGAGTGTAGGGACAGGGAAAGTAAAAATGTAGTTAATTAAGTAAAATAGAGTAGACTCCACAGAAAGGAAATCTGGACTGTGGAGTCCACAGAACTTAGAGTTTTTAGAACTTGGGGAACCATTTCTTGAACTAAATAACTATTTCTGTGATTTTTTTTTCTCTCCAGAAATATCTCAGAAGAGGCTCTGGTATTTGTTCACTACCATTTTTGGCCAAGATCTGCCAGGAGATTAAACTGTATGTATTCTTTTCTTCCTTCAAAACATTGGAGCAGCTTAGTCTGTGGTCATCTCTGTTTCCTAATAGTTAAAACAATCTTCTCATTTAAAAGACATCCCCCACTGGAAGATGAAAGATTTCTTGGCCAAAACAGTTATACAGTCATACAGAAACTAAAAGACAAATGAGGCCTGAACCAGTCATTGGCAATATATTGAATATGTGCATCTTTGACCATCAAAGACTGACTTTCCTTCACTCTCATGCAGCCTGTGGGTGAGACTCCATGCACAGTGGGGTGCAGGCTTAACCACAGTAAGGATAGGCCCTACTGGCTGTATAGACACAGACAATGTTGGCCACTCTTCGTGGCAGGGACTCTTTGAGCATCTATAGCACAACACACTCACAAGGCCCAACCTACTACTAGATATCTATAAGCAGTCTTCTGAATGTAGAAAAACTGTCCAGAGTTCCAAACTCCTGTCTCAGATTAAAATGCTGTGTTCCAGCTCCCTTTTGATTCAGAGGTCATGCTGAATATCATAGTAATAGCTCTCCAAAATGTTAAAGATAGAAGAGTTCTTTGAGGACTTTGGACTAAGAAGAAACTAACACAGATCTACCCTGCCATTTGGCTGTTTCTTATATATTTGCTACTGCTGCCAGGTAGGTGAAGAACAATGTTCAGGTGCTGCACTTAGTCTGGCTACTCCATGAAGTAGGGATTAATAGTCCCGCCTCAAAGAAAAAGAAGCTGAGTCTTAAATAACTTCTTTCAGGTAAAAGAACTTAAAACACAAGCCTATATGTGTTGGACCCACATGTCCTCTGGGAAATGATTTTACATTCTTGGTCTCCATGCAGCACTGCCTCCCAAGCCCATTTAATGTCTCAGTTTCTCACCCCAAATCCAAGCCAAGGGTGGAGACTAAATTATGGCTACACCTCAGAATCGTCTGGGAAGCTTTTAAAATACAGATTTATTTGCCTGAGACCAGTGGAAGAACACTGACTTTTCCCTAAAGTTAACTTTTGGACATCACATCTATGCTCCCGATTGTCTGTGTCACCCACATTTTCTAGTTCTGTGACAGACAGCAAGTGTCGCATGTACTGGTGATGCTTAATAATGCCAAATAATGTTAATTGGCTGTGAACAATTATTCTAGATCACATCACCCACTCTGGCCCCTATTGCTTTTTATCCTTGCATTCCAGCGGGTGGTTCCTATTATTTGAGTCCATTCTAGTCCAACATTGTAAGGGTGAATATGCCTGAGGTGAACATCAGGTTGCATATCTGGACTGGAAAAGTAGATAAGTTTTCTAAGGTTGCTGTATTAAAATTTCTCAAACTGAGTAACTTAAGATCACACAAATGTATTTCCCCTGTTCTAGAAGCTACAGGTTTGAAAGCAAAATGCTATCTCTTCGAGGTCCATGGGATTCTGGGCTCAATCATTCCTGTCTTCTTTCTAGCTTCTTATGAGGGCAGGTGGTCCATCCTTAGCATCTCTCGGCTTGCAGGTGCATCACTGCAGACTCTGCCTCCCGGTCATATATAGCTTTTTCTTTTATAATGACACTATTTCTGTTGGATTAGTGTCTATTCTAATGACCTCAAACTCAGTAACCACTGCAAAGACCCTATATGCAATTAAGGTCATATTCACAGGGTTTAGGGATTAGAATTAAACAGATCTCTTTGACAAACAATTCAGCCCATAACAGAGGCACTTTTTCTGTGTCCTCCATCCTTCATTTCATGCAGTTCATGGGAACCACAACCCACATCTACTGTCTGTTGTGGAAGTACCTGAGGAGAGAAGGAGGCTGTGATTCTGATACACATCAGAGTCTCTTAGTTATGTAAAAGTTTGAAAGTTTTTCTTGGTTCATCTAACCAATCAGCTCCTGTAAGCCAGCTGTGCAAAGTGCTGGCCTTAGTCCCAGAAACAGGGTTAACCCCTTTTTCATGAATGGGAGTGGACGCAGAGTGTCAAGACATAAAGTGGAGGGAAAATATCAGACATGAAAGAAGATGCTGGAAGGCAGAAGCAGCCAGCTCCCTAGGCCCCCAATCATTTTATTATGCCTAGCTTTTGTTGAATTGAGATCCATTTCCTTCTTGCTGAAAGTGTTACTGCATTTTCTGTGTCAGATGTGAGCCTGCAGGACCCAACAGTGCCAAAGTGACAACTCCTCTATTGAACTACCTTTGAAAACTGAATTCAAGAGCTATTGTGGCCAGGGAGTTTCTTGGCCCAATTTAAAAGGGAAGTTCTTCTTTCATGAACAAGGAAAAGAAGAGTGCTTTCTTCTTTCTAAAAAAAAAAAATCATTGTGCTTTAGTATAACGTATATCAGGCCACAACTTATTTAGTGCTTTGTGGCTTATACACATTTTATATAATTTAAATATCGTTAATTTTGAGTGTTATATTTAGGTGTACTGAATTATAATTTGACATCTGTTTACCTTACATGATCACCACCAAAAGTCTAGTTTCCAGGTCCCTTTCCCCTGCTCCTCAGCCCACTGTCTCTCTGGTACCCACCAATCAGTTCTTTTACTAAACACATTTAAATGCAGTCTCTCTTGTTCTCAAAAACACTATGTAGTAGTAGAAGTTGTCTAGTAGCTAAAAGCTACTCAGTGCTTTCTATGCATCCCAACTTCTGAAGATGCAGCCCTGTAAAACAAACTCCTTTTCTAAAGTGGTAAAGTTATTTGCCCCAAGTCCAGAGCTAGGAATGGGAATGTCTGACATTTGAAGCCAACATCCTAGTTCCAATGGCTAGACTCCTAGCTGCTACATTGTCTTACCTGTGACTTTTAGCCCTCTTTAAGATAAACAAAACACTTCTAGTGCATTAAATGTCTGAGCTGCTGGTACAGTGAGCAGTGGTAGAGTGTTCTGTGGCATATCCTATGACAAGATCCCCTCCAGAAGGAAAGCCTGTCTTGCTCTGTGCCTGTTTGATATTGTGCCTTCAAAATTCATTTGTGGTTCCTGCTGTCCCAGGAGAGTTCCCACCCCCAGACCAACTTCAGTGGTGTACCTGTCCTTCCTCTGGTCTCCAAGTTCACCCATGCCTGCTCCTGTTTCTGCTCCTGCCGAGGGACCTCTGTTGCTATCTCCCACATGAACCAAAAGCTCCTGGAGTACAAGAATTTTTGCTTAATAAATTTTTCATTCTTAGTACCTTAGCCTTAACAGCACCTCAGTATAGACAAGGCAATAATTTACTACAAAAATCAATGTGTAGGATTTCAGGGTATGCCATGGGCAATCAGATTTGTTGCTATTACTGCTGTTTTGATCAGAATTCACAATGACCACCACTAATTTTTTTATTATATGTCTTTACCATTTTAATAATATATTAATATTAGATTTTTATTTAATTATATTGTCATAATCTGTTGATAATTTTAATAGATTTGAAATTTTATATAATCATCATTACTTCTAAATAATTTGAATATTTTTAATATCTATATGCATAAAACCATATATGTATTATTCCACATATATGTATACAGACTATCATAGCCTATATTCATTGTGCTTATGTCATTGTTATTTTCCTTTTTCACCTGTCCATTCTTCCCCATGCCTTGCACCCTCCCCTCATCCCCACATGAGTCTCTGTTCCCACATCAGGGTAAACCTTGTCAGCACATCAGGTGTATCCCGCCATGGTTTCCTCCATTTTCATTTCCTCTTACAGAGATACACATAACACAATGCATCTGAACAGACTTCCAGTCCCCACCCCCAAGTGTTGCTTAGGATTCTAAATTGAGGCAGGTGCACGTAGCAACTTCAGTTCCTTAGTTTTCTTTGTCAGCAGGCTCCAGTTCAGTGAAGTAATCTTAGGGAATTCGAACCTAAAGAGCTCACTATCATGGAGTGATAACATCCAGCCTGCCAGCAGTCAATCACAGAGCAGCAGCAGTGAGCTGGGATACACCACACACAAGCTACATGATAACTGGACAGCACACCACATGGTTAGGAACCCAAAAATCTGAAGAGGACTCACAGATTGATTTGGGTTGTCTCCAGAAACTAAAATATCATAAGAACAGATGTCTGATACCCAGTTGCCCTACCAGAGAAACCACCATGAGAATAATTGTCACCATTGTACATGATAACAAAAGAGCTGTCGTTTTTTGAACGCTTACCACATGCTTGGCACAGGACTTCTTGTTTCATATATAACAACTCATTTAGCCTTTATAATCATTTAGCCCTTGGAAGCAAGTACAAATTTTGAACCTATTTTACAAATGAGGGACTAGAGGTTAGGGGGGAAAAGAGATTCAAGCATTTGTCCAATGTCAACAGATAGCAAATCTGAAATCCAGACCCAGAGTCTAATCTCAATACCCGAACTTTAGGTAGAGGCTTCCCCATAGTTTTTCCTTCCAACTACAGCAGCATCCACCCATTTACTTGCCTTGAAAAATGTTTTTTCCTCCTTTAGACTCTATTTTAATATCATCTCCTCTATAGAGTTAGAAATGTTTTCCCTCTTGGTGTACCACCTCTTTTAACATTTCTCCCTAGTACTTGTGTTATCTATGCATGGTTCCCCCTTGTCCTTCATCAAGCAAATCCTCTTGCATAAGAAATGTATGTTCTCTTCATTTCTATTGTAGAATATGATGATGTCGGGCATGCTGTAGAGACTCCAAAAAAGTCTGTGGAATTAATTAGTTAAATAATTTTCAACACATAATCAGTTGCCTCTAAGAATATACAAGGTATCAAATATACATATAATTTAGCAGAAAAAAAAAAAACTTTAGTAAAAGTCACCAATTCCTTAACCAAAATGCTTTATCTAAAACCTTATAACTATTAATAGATAGGACTTGGCATTTAAACCTTTCCAGATTTTAAGAAAGTAACATAATATTTATATCATAATTCACCTAACATCCCCAGCACCTCCTGAGAATATACATCTGTATTTCAGCAGTGAGATGTATGAATGTTGACACTAAGTAAGCTAAAGCTTATGATGCCTTTAATCAGTCTGGTTCAAGTTTTTCCTTTCAAATGAATTTGCTGCAAAGTTGGAAAAAGAAATTCTTGTCTTCAGAGTTATTTGTATTTGGGGACTGTGAATAAAGGATAGTGGAGCTTAATTTGTAGTTTCTGCTACTTTAGTTAACCAATCTACTCTCCTATGTCTAGACTCTATGTCTTCGGTTAGCCATTTTGAACCTTTAAAATAAGCAGGTGAAGGTTAATTTGTGAACTGGTTTTCTGATTCTAGAGATAATTTTTTGTTCCTTCCTTCAAGAAAAAATGTTAATCTCCAAAATGACAACTGTGAGAAGAGATAGTATTGGCATACTAAAATAAAATGTTTCACCATTTTGCTCAAATTGAAAATGTCAGCATCTCTCTCTCTGTATGTATGCATCTGCATGTGTATTTGTATGTATATTTGTATGTGTTATGCCTTTTTCTTTATCTTGACTAGAAAAATAAGGCAAATGTCCAAGAGCTAAAATATGTGCATGGAGAAAACTATTTAGTCTCTAAAGACATGTAATTTTCAAAGTGTCCTGATCTTCTGGTGGGTCCACCAACTCAGGATTTATAAGACAGGCTCCATGCTGCCAATTAGAGTCCATGCTGACTCTATCTACATTCATTTGCCTTACACTCTCAGAAATATTGAAAACTGAATTCAAAAGACTTTAATAAATCCTATAACGGATCATACTACTCTATATTCTAAGAGATAAGACAAGGCTATGCTACCCTGACTTCACCACCCTGCAACCTCTTAAGTGGCTTTCTTAGAGAGACAACAGTGTTTATCATTCAGAACTGGGAAACGTCTGGTGGTGAGGACACAGGGTGAAATGCTTGCTCAAGGAGGTGGCCATGGCTTTGGTGTTAATTTGCTTGGTCATCAACCACATCATCATATCATAAATGGGAATGAAAGTTGCTAGCTAATGACAACTAAATGTTTCAGGAGTCCCAGATAAATGTTTTAAAAGAGTAAGAATTTAAGAAAAAGCTTCCATTGCAGAATGTGTGAGATAGCACAAATTCACTCTATTGAGTTGAACTCACTGCCTAGTCAGAACAAAAATCAGTCTCCTCCTTTCCTAGGGCTCTCAACATTAATATTCTGTTTACCTCTAAAACATTCATTTTTTTGTTTCCCTCTCTGGACCAGCTTAAATATCAGAGAAAAATAGTTCTGGTAGGTGGATAGCAGAGATTGGCAAAATTTGTCTGGCACTCTAGATTCCAATCAGGACCTTTGTTTTTTTTTAATGGGCTTCTGCCATATCAATTCAACACTGAAAATCTGAAAGTGTCTCTATTTGTTTTCAAAAACACTGCTTCATTTTTTCTTCATTCACCAGGTGTTTTGTTTTCTTTTTTTAGATCTATAGCGAATTCTGTGCCATTCAAAGATGTAGATTCAGACAAATACAGTGTTTTCCCAGTAAGTATTAAGAATAACCAGATGTTTGCTGAGTATTGCATCACTTCCTACAAATTTCTTTCCTTTCATAAGACAAGATTGAATTCCATTTCAGCACCCTCTTAATTTGATAATATACCATTTCACAATCATTAAGGAACTTTTGGCAACTTTAATAAATAATACATCAACCAATAAATTGGGTCTATGCCTAGAATGATTTTTGTGTTCCAAAGTCATTCCCAACTGGAATTCTCTTCTGTAATCAGTTATCTTGAAAGATGTTATGAATTATTTTGGAAATTGTTATACCTATTACAACATACTTTTTAGAAGCATGTATAGTTATACGTGTGTGTGTTTGTGATTTAGAGTAGTGAGGATGCTAGCATTCTCTCTAGGAAAGAAAATAAGCAAGGCACAGATGTCACAACCTCCCCCCAAAGTTTGTGGAATCTGATATTCCACTTGGAAATGAGGAAAGTAAAACATGCTTGACTCTAAATCTTTTCAAAACATATCAAATATACAGCAATCTATATAATTAATCACTTTGGCTAGAATTTTTTTTTTTTAATTTCAGATACAGGCACACTTCATACCTACACCCATGCACAGGTACACCCAAGATGACACATGTACACACATTACCACTGTTATCAGTGCTGGCGTTTTATTGCATGTGACCTTATATTACAAGTCTTATGTGTTAATCTTAATTTTTGTGGTCACTAGTAATGTTCCAAGGCTATTTTTGAACTAAAAGCTGCAGCTGTCAATAGCTCTCAGACAACTCTGATTGACCTTCACCTTGGATAACAACATCAATGCAGAACTGAACCCTTTCTCTGTGTGTTCTTCAATTTCAGACACTGCGGGGCTATCATTGGCGAGGGAGAGACTGTAATGACAGCAACAAGATGGCATACCCAGGCAGAAGGTAACTGTCTCTGCTGGTCACTGATTCTGAAAATTACCTCCTGAATGAGTTAGGAAGTATATTCTTTTGCTGAATCTAGGGGGTTTGTGTTTACAGAGAGAAAGAATCCTCCATCCCTGAGTGAAGTAAAGCTCTATGCAAAAAGAAAGCTTTTATTCAGTCATTGTCCCAGAAATGTTCTTTGAGCACCCATTAATCACCATGCATTCTGTATCACATTGGGTGAAAAGCAAAACAGAAATAAGCCTCTTGTGGAACTTACACTCTTGAGGGAGAAGCAAGCAAAAAAACAGATTACCGTGGACATTTATCCTACTTCCTGCATAAGTCCTATGTGCAGGAATCAGCTCAGAAATAGGAACTTCTCCTACCATGAGTGAGGAGCAGGCTCCAGTGGCTGGAACACATGTCACATTTTGGTCCCAGGCTAATGATCTCTTAGTTCAAAAATAGATATGCTAGCCCTAAGGTATCTCTTAGTTCAAAAATAGATATCTCAGCTCTGACTACAGTACTGAAGCATTAAATTGCCAGATATTTGGGATTTTAAAGGTATAATATTAGTGGCTTCACCTCTCTGAATAAAAAGGACCACATGTATTCATTGTGCTCAACACTGTTCCACAGCCTAGAGTCCATGAAGATGGTTCATCATGGCTTATGTCCAAGGTTCCTCAGTTAACATCTCAAACCAAAATAATGGCAGAGAGGCTGCATGGAGGCTTCCTATGCCACAATACACAGTGGTGTGTGATACTTTTCCTTGAAGAATATGTTGTCTTTCAGTGACACTTTCTATAGCCTTCATTCATTCATGAAGCTCACACTCAATGACAAGAAGATGCCAAAGACCAATGCTATTGTTTTCTCCTTAGGCCAGACAACTGGGATGTACATCAGGATTCAAACTGTAATGGCATTTGGGTAAGCCACTAAATTGAAATTTACCCTTTTCTCTTACTCTCTGCCCTCCTTAAAATCCCAGTGTATGTTTGTCAGTGCACTAGTGAGACCAAAGAAAGATGATGACAAGCTAAAGAAATTCTTTCTCCAATACTTGGAAGAAGGGAATAAATAGACTATCACTTGTGAAGAGGATCAGTGAAGTAGCAAGAGTGAAGCCTTTCTCTGTCACACAATTTTTAGGTCTCACTAAAGTCACCCCTATCTAGTCCCTTTATTCTGCTCTGAGCAGTGTGAAATTAAATAGCAAGTGCTGTTAGCAAAGTTTACTGCAACCCAAACAGCTGTTGGAGCAACTGCATGCTGTTACCATTTCACTGCAACCATTTTCTTTTCTTTTCTTTTCTTTTCTTTTCTTTTTTTTTTTCTATTTCATAAAGCTACTCAGGCAGAGTAGAAAAGACTTTGGTTACCCCACTGCACATATATTCAGCCACCTAGCAATGGTGTGTCCCAGTTCCTTAGGAATGATAGATATGCAGCATTAGGTAGAGGAAAAGAAGCAAGAAGAAAGGCAATCAAGACTTATCTGGAGACAGCAATAGCAGCATATGTAAGTGATGTGAGTTTATATGAGTTGAAGAATCCTCAGAAGAAGATGACCAAATTACAAATACAAAATCAAGTATGAATGTAAATGATTAACGAGAACAATAAAAGAGCCCTAACAAGTTCCCAGGATCTTGGAAATTCAGGAAACTCTTTTGAGATCTCTTTTCCAGTTTACCAAGAGTGCTACATGAATAAAACCTGCCTTCTCCTCACCACCAAAACACAATAGCTCCCAGCCATCCACAATGTTCACAAAGGCAGTAATGATGCCAATAAAAAGCCCTGAAGTTTAAGATTCTCCATTTCAAGATAAACTGTCTCTTATGATTTGCTTCATTTATCTGCTTGCACGGAAAGGAGAAAGTTTCAATAAATATTTCCAACTGTGTATTAATTTTGAATGGGATAATTCTTTGTTGGGGATGCTATCTTGCAAAGTATAGGAAGTTGAGCACCAACCCTGATGCCCTACTAAATGCCAGTAACTCCTGCTCTCCCATTGGTAAGAATCAAAAATATCTCCAAACATTGCTAAATATCTACTAGTGTCAGGATGGAAGACAAAACCATCACTGGAGCTATCACTTGAAGCCCAGGCCAGGCACATCTGAGTCTGCCTAGTTCTTCCTCAGACTGAAAATCGCGGAAGTCCAGAACTCTGCCCCGCAGCCTTCTGAACAAGATGGCCCAATTCCTAGACCTGTCCTTATAACTATCCCAGTTCTCAAAGCCTATCTCACTCACATAGAATGGTGCTATGTTGATTATAGCCTCAAGAGACTTCAAGGATTTTTATCTACTCATTTGCCTTTGCACTTTTAAAACCATTTGGGAAGGATTTGATGTATGTGTCTCATAAGTTTAAAAACAATCTGTTAATTTTATCACTTCTCTTTTAAAGGGTGTTGATCCAAAAGATGGAATTCCATATGAAAAAAAATTCTGTGAAGGTATGAATTGAAAAAGTCAGTATGCTTGTTATAATAGAATATTCTTTTATTGTCTGACAAACTGAAGTGAACAGACCACCCAACTGAACAATTGCTTGATGCTACAATATACAGCTGACCACTTTACCTTGATTTTCATAACAAATCAGAAAAAGAAATGAAAAGATCACAGAAAAAAAGGAAATCAGAATTGTGGAGGGAGAAGAACAATTTGTTTAATTGCCTCTTTTGAAGACTGGCAGTTTTAATGGGAATGTTAGAAAACACTGTAAAATATATAACATGGTAAATGAAATACAGAATTTCTCCAAATAAGAAAACAAATAGAGATGATTTTTTTTCTTTGTCTCTTCTCCATCCCCCTCAGTATACTATAAGGGCAGGCATTTGAGCTTACACTGACAAGAGTCCTTGAGTCAACCCTGATTTATATCTTGACTTAAGGAGACCTCCAAGTTATAACCATCAGGAGTTACCAAAAAGAGCTGAGCAAAAACTCTGTATTCTAAATGCCCAAATGCTACAGACATCTGGGCTACCTATTACGTTAGCAGAAATATACTACAATTCACATCTTACTGAAAACAAGTTCCTGCTAGAGAGTCTCAAACAAGATCCTATGGTATCTTCACTGTTCTATGTTTAAGCAATGTTTTTCTCTAACATTAAGAATCATTTCATTCTTTCATTCATTTATTCAATAGATATTTCCCAAATGTGTTTTCCTATTATGGTTCAAGGACTGTATTTGGTACTAAACTTTCATGAGCTCAGTCCTTGACTCAATCAACTTAATGTTTTAAGCTCTCAGGGGGACAGGAAGGTGGTAGAAATGTAAAAAGCCAATGATTGTTATATGGTTTGAGAACCTAATGAATATATAAAATCATATCTAAGTGAAATCTTGGTGTGAGACTCGTGTCACTGTGGAAAGCCTATTGGATTCCCCACATCCTAACTCCCTGTGACTTCCTGGATATCCTGGGCCTTCTCAGGATAGAGAAGGACAAGTGCTAGCTGTCACAGAAGTTGGCATAATTGGTGGGTGAGGAAGGGAAGAAGGTTCCAGTCTTTGTCTCCAGGGGACATAGGATCATTCTTTCAGACTCATAAAGGCTTTGGGAGAGTAAATCCATCATCTGCAGGTGAATGATTTGTCTAAATTGGTCTCAGAATCAGATTAAGTGATTCATAACCTTCAAACACACAGGGCTGCTCACAGACCTTTATATCCCCATCTCCCCATGAATCAGTCAGAATCATCCAGCTAGTGCTTTAGTACATAGAGTAAAGACTTTAAAGGGCCATAACATCTTTGAAAAATCAAAATTGCTCCATGAGTTCATTAATTCTTAAAGTGAATTATACAGAATAGTGTTTTCTAAGAAAGCAATTTCCAGGACTAAAATTTAGAGCACATTTCTGAATACAGAAAAAGTTTTGATTCATTTATTTATCCGTCATTCACTCAGTATGTCACATAGCAGTTTGTTTTATGCTGAGCTAGGAAATATACCTGCATCTGTACAGCTTAGCTAGCAGTTTTGATGGCCTAGAAATCTCATTCAGCTTCTAAATGCTATGCCCCTAACTCTCCAACTGGTGAAAAGTGGCAATGCATCACTGTTATGATGCGCTGTACACAGAATACACACCAGGGTGTCTGTTCTCATAACTACCCAATCTGGAGGCTCCACACTACTTGAATGCATAAATAATGCAAATAAATTGTGCCACCTAGGTTCACAGCCCAGGGGAATCATTTTGCTGGGAGACTCAGCTGGGGCTCATTTTCACATTTCTCCTGAATGGATCACAGCTTCGCAGATGTCTTTGGTAAGTAATTCTGGCAGTCAGCATCCCGGATGTTCCGGCCTTTGTGTTGGTTTCCCCTTGCTCTCTCTAAATGTGATGCCAATGCCAAACAGGTGCAAATTTCCTTGCTCAGCAAAGTCAGCTATAAAAGGCACATCCACAGCCATTTTGTTCAGTTCATTTCAGTGTGATAAGAAATGAGGGGGCCTTACCTCAACAGGCTCATAACGAGAAACATCCAGTCCATCAGAGAAGTCTCTAGGAAACCCAGTCTATAGGAAACTTTGGCACAAAAGGAAGCCTTGTTCTACAGTCACCTCTGGGTGTAATTCAAAACCTGAAGTCTAATCCAGAGAAATTAGAGATTATTCACCCCTCCACAGACTAAAAGTACCAAATGCTCTCTAACTGAACCTCCCCCAAACTGGACATATAGACCTCCTTTTGTAAGGATAAGCAAGCCAAGAACTATCTGAACATTTTTAAAATGCTAGAGAGCACCAAAGAAGAATGCTCTTTTGAAAAAAGCTTGTAATAGCTAAGAGAATGACATTTTCTAAAATGTTAATTTCAGATCCTCCACAATAATTGAGAGGATATTGTGCCTATGAGAAAGGAAGGACCTGTGATCAAGGAAGACCCATTTTTACGAGATGGTTCACATTTAAGCAGAATATAGAGAAACCAAAGTGTCAGGAAAAGACAAAGCTTGCAAGCTGACCATAGATCTAAAGCTTGCTACAGGGAAGGGGGAGGGGGAGGCAGAGGAAAAGAATCAAAACAGGGGAGGGAAGAGCCCAAAGGACTGTGGTGATAGATCAAGGGTACTATGGTGGTGGGAGAAGTATGGGAACTACACCTGAAGGAAGAAATAACATATTGTACAAAAATTTAACATATATATAAGAAACTAAATTAATCAAAAAGGAAAAACAAAATAGTTCCTTAATGTATCAATAAAAATTCAATGATAAAGCTGTCTAGCAAGCTTGACAATACTAAAAACAGGATGAGCAGAGAAATTCTGGAATTCAGGTAAAAAGGTGTGTAGGGTAGGTTCTGGAGATGGACTAGGAAACCTAAAGGAAGACAACACCTGAGGCAGAGAGCCAAATAAATAAAGATAATTTTCTGGAGTTGCAGAAATCTTCCCTTTAGTTGAAATTCCCAAAATCTAAAATAAGCCCTCTCCTCATCATGTCCTGCTTTTTCTCTTTATTCTAAGTATAAAGAAAAGTTTTGCCAACAAAGCAGCAGGGCCTGTACTTGATTTTAAATATATCTCAACACCAAATTTCAGAAAATAGTGAAATGGCTTTTAATAGAATTTTGAGGAAGAAAGATCATATATCAAAAAATGCTCTAAATACCAAGGTATTATTCTTACATGAGGAACCATAAAGTTTATTCTGTCATATGAAGATTCAGAAAAATGCCTTCCTGGAAAAAAAGAAATGTTTATAACATGAGAAAAATTTAAATCCTGTAATAATCCTTTAATGCCTATATGTCAATTCAAACTTACAACTTCTTAATCAAGAACACAAGCAATAAGTCTAAAAATAGGTTCATCTCTGTTCCTAACAAAAGAAACAGAAATTAAAGCAACAATGCAATATAATTTATTACTGACAAATAAACAATGGTTTAAAGCTGACAAGGCCCTACTATTAGCAAAAATGTAGTGAAACAGATAGTTCATTGACCACCAATGAGAATTTAGACTGCTAGAACTTGAATCAAAATTTGCATTAGAAATAAAATGATATTAAAGTGATTGCATTTTAATTAGTAACTCCTGGAGTAAAATCTGAAAAATTATCTTTATTTTTTAATTAAATTAATTTATTTTTGATTGAAGTAGTATCAACATATTTTAATCAGTCATTTACTAAAGATTCTATGTGCATGAATATTCATCAAGTGTTTTCTATATGAGCAAAAATGAGAAAGAACTTAAAATGCTTAAGGGAATTAAAATACACTGTATCCATAAAATGAAACACTATGCAATGTTCTTGCTAAGACATGTATCTTAGCATGAAAATGTTTATATATGTATTTATATATTTATTTATAGTAAGTTGTTAGGGAGCAAGAGTGGGTTAAAACATATATATGAGTCATTTTTGTGACTATATAAAGATATCTGTATATTAATAAAGAAAATAATTGGAAGGTTATGGATCAGTATGCTAGCAGTACTTTCTGTAAATAGAATTTCAAATCACTTTCTAATGTGTTTTCAATGAATTTGTATTATATATGTATAGATACTGTATACACGTTTTGGGGGATTGTTTTGTCTTGTTTTAAACAAATAGCAAGGAAACCAGTTAAAGAAAAGCAAAGTATTGCTTTACGTAATCTCATAAAGCCCTGAAGGTATGTGTTACTACATCTTAGACCCTCTTCACAAGCACTTCAGAGAGGTTGGGTAGTCTGTCTTCTTTCACACAGGTGATAGGTAGCAGAATCACTTCCTGTCAATGTCATCTTAATTCAGCCACCTAACCAGAAACTCTCTAAATGATGATAGGGAGCCATTGCAAACAAGGCCATGTGCTTTAATGAGCTAATGGCTGTGAAAAAGCTTTGGAAACATATGCTGGACTCAAACTAGACAAAAGTAAGTTGACACACAGCTCACGCAAGCAGTGGCGGAAGCTAATGATCCTGGCCTACTCCTTCATCCTGTCTTTCCTATTTCACACCAAGGCCTCCGGAAGCTGTGGTAAGCAGTGTCTCTTGTTTCAGGGTTCTCCTGGAAAGGACAGCCTCCTACCCACTGACGCTGGAAACTGTAGCTCATGCTTCAGTGTGTTATCTCTAGGAAGGAGAATACCTCACTAAGAACACATTTTAAAGAAATTGTTCCCACAAGCCCAGCTGTCAGCCTCATTCTGAAGTACTGACAAATGGAATTCAGGTTTCAATCATTTTTTAATGTACTAATGCAGCAATGAACTAAGATACTACAGATTATTATGATTCAGAATATATTTGGGTTATTTGCAACCTCACTCCCATCACTTTGGGGCAATAAATAGTTTGAGAAATGGCAACTAGAATGGTTGTAACATGGGGCTGATGAGAAATCAAATCCCAATATGGTCACTGGGAATTTGATGAGGAATCAAATCCCAATATGGTCACACATCAGTATGGCAGCATGCTATCAATGGCAGGGACAGTACTGAAGTTTTAATATCATTTTGTCATCTATTTCAAGCCATTGATGTTCCTGGGTTCATAAAATGTCTCCAGGTAAATACTCCTTTCTAAACTATAAATTAAATCAGTCAGTACCAGTCTGGGCCACCTCTGTGGGATACAACTTGATGAGATGGAAGATGAGACTAGAAGGATAAAAGAGATGCTTTGCTTAGAAAGTTGGCATTGAAAATGAAGCTTCATTATCAAGTTATTGGCAAAATAATGCTGACAGGCCATTCCAACTCTCAGTAACTCAAACAATTGTCATGACTTATTATTGGGCTGGACTCAGTTGCTCTTGGCTAAGTTTGGACCCAAACCTTTCTCCATTTGTCTCATTTTTTGAATGTGGACAATATCCATAATAAAATATCCAGAATAGGGCCCTCCCTGGTGGCTCAGCGGGTTAAAGCACTGCACTAAGAAGCTAAAGTCACTTCCGCATGAGTTCAATTCCCGCCTGCCCCGGAGATCCACATGATGTGGCAGACCTCTCCGGACTCACCCGCTGCTCCCCTCAGCAGTGTACTTCATAGATCTGCCTGTTCTGCTCCCCACTCTGTCTCTGGTGAATCCTCTCACCCTCTGCATCTCTGGCCTGTACCCCAATACCCCAATTCTGTATGAATAAATAAATAAATCTTTAAAATATATATATATCCAGAATAGGTTCTAATAGGAGAACTGAAAAAGTGTAGGTCCCTCATATGCAAGAACATTTGCTGCTACATGTCCACCATCAACCACTGGGCAAAACAAGTCACACGGTCATGTCCAAGAGCAACAGGGAAGGAAGTGTACTTGCCTAAAATGAGAGAGGAGATTATTGCTGTCTGCTTTTATCTAATTATAAATGTGAAATACTCAGTAGACAAAAGTAAGAAAGCACAGTAATATTAAATCTTTAAAATTCCTCTTAAAACTGCCACCCACCCAGAATCATTTAACATTTGGAGTACCAATTTGGATTGGTTTTGAAATATTTTTTTAATATCTTTTTACTGAAAAAAAAATACATATATACTCAATATTAGAACCAATTCTGAGAAGTGAAGACAAAAAAATCATTCTCCCATTTTAAATCTTTCGGGGTATTTTTCCACTCTTCCTCATCACTTCAACTCCATTTACATGTGTGCATGTGAGTTTGCATGCACACACACACACCGTGTTATAAGAAGAGTAAGTTTATGTTTAGCCTTTTTTTGCAATTAGTACTTGTCAATTAGTACTAATAATTGGGGCTTAGTCTTTATATTCATTACATATGTCCATGTTCATAGCATCCTTTTCGGTGGACATTTTCTGTACTAACTCACTTACCTATAACTGTATATTAAACTGATTCATGGTTTCATTTCTTGGCTGTTATGACTCATGAAACTTTTTTTTAAAAAAACATTCAAGTTTAAACCTCTTCATTTTCCTGAGGAAGGAAACATTTTCCCTGAGGACCTGAGCCAATCTTTAGAGACTATACTGATTATCTGTTGCACTAAGAAACTTTTGTTTCTTCTAATCCCACTGCATTATACCCATGCATCCAATAGTTATTTGAGTTTATACTTCACTGTCCAAACTTGAGAGACAAGAGATTATTACTCAGCTAGACTGGTCCAGACAAACTGGAACATATAGACATACTCTACTGATACACAGGCACCATGTGTAATCCTGACACTGAGTCAAGAGCAGGTTCCAGAGGGGAAGTTTCAGCCCTAAAATAATCTCTAGAGTAATCTTGGACCTTGAATTAGCCAAATCTGGGTTCAAATACCAATTTAGTCATTTCACTTATCTTTGAG